AGCAATCTTTTTTGTTAATTCATTAATTTGTATATTCCAAGATAGATTCTCATCAAGGTACACTCCGAGAGACTTTGCTTGTAAAACCTTGTCAATAGGAACCCCGTCTATTTCTAAACATGGAACTGATCGAAATGTGGCTATTCTTTGTCGTGAGCCAATTAGCATAAATTCAGTTTTGGATTGATTTAGAGTAAGCTTATTGGCGATAAGCCATTTCTTCACATTTGCAAGGTCATGATTAAGGTGATAATTTATGTCGTCAATATTGTTACTTGCAAATGTTAAATTAGTATCATCCGCGTACATTCGTGGTTGGGAGTGCTCAAGGCAATTTGGTAAGTCATTTATATACAGTAAAAATAACAATGGTCCTAAAATAGTCCCCTGTGGCATACCACAGAGTAACGTACGATTGTTAGAAAGGTGACATTAACATAGCATTTTTGACTGCGGTCACTTAGATAAGACTTAAACCAATTACCCACAGCACCCCCAAGACCATACGCATTCAGTTTTGATAGTAAAATTCCATGGTTAACTGTGTCAAACGCTTTCTTAAGATCTAGGAAAACTACAGCATTAACTCGGCCTTGGTCCGATGTTGTATGCCCAGTTATTGGTGGACTCAAGAAGCGCGGTGACAGTTGAATGTAGACATCGAAACCCTGACTGGCTATTACATAGTAAATTGTTGTCAGTAAGAAAGGCATAGATTTGATCATAAATAATTCTCTCGAAAACCTTCGCTACAACAGGTTGAAAGCTTACGGACCGGTTGAAAGCTTACGGAATGCATAAATTAAGCTGTGATCACTAATACCGACATGAGAAACACCGGAGCAAACAATTTTATCTGGTGTATTGGTGAATATATGATCAATCATATATAGTTGAGGAAGTTTCAGTAATTCGAGTCGGTTCACTTATCAATTGATGTAAACCATAGAGCTCAGTGATGCCTATTAATGATCTCGAATTACTCTCTAAATCAGGCGACCCGAGATCACAATTTAGGTCACCCAATAAATAGTACTCGACATTTTCAGCATCAAGCATGTCAATAAATGTCTCAAAATAATTAAATTTATCAACATTCGAATTTGGTGGCCTGTACCATGTCGCAACGAGAAATGGCTTAGAATTTGGTTTTTGAATTTGAATACATAGATTTTCTAAATTATCAATAGACATGTCTTTACGCTGTATGAAATTTACGCTGGAGCGTACATAAAAACAAACACCTCCATACGTTTTTCCATCTGCACTTCTAAATGCCCTGTCACGACGTATGGTTTCGTATCCAGGTATATATACATCGTTATCGCTTATTGTAGAATTAAGCCATGTCTCATTTATTGTTAGGACATCGATCGGGCTAGTAGCAAGCAAAACTCGCAGCTCATCAATATGATTTACTAGGCTTCTCACATTAAGTGCCGCGAGCTTAAACCCGCGCGAGTTAGGAATAACGGACTGAGTAGGATAAAGTCAATCTGAGTAGGATAAAGTCAATCTATATAGTCGTGATAACACGCTGATTTTTTTTTGTTTAACTTTTATACAAAACTGGCAAAATATTTATAAAATATTTATGGAGTGTCCATTTTCTGAAATATATACAGGGTTTCTAAAAAAACGCTATAGAAATTCAACAGACTGTCGTGCATCATAAACGTGGCTAAACAATTAAATTCTTACATAATATGACAAATGAACAGTTATTTAGCTTTCAATGATACTTTTTTAAATCATAACGATGAGAAATGGCCACAAACTCGTCAAATAAAAATTGCCGGTCGAAATCACATTCTTCCACCGTTGGGAATTGAATGGAAAACGAACCATAGACAATTCCGGCTCCCAAGAGGGAATTAACATGGAATGATTGAATGTTAAATTCTCTAAAATGAGCTCAGCTCCTCGATCTTCGTCTTAGTGAGACAATAACTAAATAAAGGCCGGCGCACACTAGAGCTATGTGCTTAGCAAAATGTCATTCGTGACTGTTGGCGTAAGGAGATAGCTTTCGTGTGCGGGCGATTTACGAACGACTTTTGTCATTCGTGCCACTTACGCCAAATATCTAACATGTTTGATAATTTCTACCTCGCGTGCCAAAATCTTTCCGTGTGCGGCGAACGAAAGCTATCTGCTTACGGATTGTCGTAACAGCGCATGCGTAGTATACGAAAGTAAACATCCAAGATGGCGGCGCAAAATGAATTGCTGGCCGAGGCAATTTTAGAGGACAAACTTACTGGCTATTTCTTTCACCGCACATTCCCTTTTGTCCCTATTTCTAAAATCTGCAGAACTCACATCGTATAAACATTTGTATTCAGGCCAAAGTTCGACAAGTTTGTCCTCTAAAATTGCCTCGGCCAGCAATTCATTTTGCGCCGCCATCTTGGATGTTTACTTTCGTATACTACGCATGCGCTGTTACGACAATCCGTAAGCAGATAGCTTTCGTTCGCCGCACACGGAAAGATTTTGGCACGCGAGGCAGAAATTATCAAACATGTTAGATATTTGGCGTAAGTGGCACGAATGACAAAAGTCGTTCTTAAATCGCCCGCACACGAGAGTTATCTCCTTACGCCAACAGTCACGAATGACATTTTGCTAAGCACATAGCTCTAGTGTGCGCCGGCCTTAAGAATGTCCATAAAACATGGTTCAATTAACCCCTGAACAAAGAAGATGGCAGGTTTTTTAAAATTGCGTCGTGATATACACGCGTGGGCTTTCGTGGGATTGTCGGCTTGTCGCGCGAGGAAATTGAAATCCTGATTTTTGTGGCGTCACGTAGATAAAAATAAATGTATTTTTCTCGTAATTTCTTCGGTAAAATTTTTTAAAACTTCACACACTTTCCTATAATCTTGGATTGCATAAAATGTGCATGTTTTGAGAGAATCGTACTAGCCGAATTTTTTTTATTCCAAAAACAGGGATTTTTGAGCATTAAAAAAATATTCTCGTACGATTTTTTTAAAATGCTACCATTTGAAGGAATTAAAGATAAGATTACTGTTTGCAAAAATTAAAAAGTTTTACCAAAGAAATTTTCAAAAAGTTATGAAAGAATCTACAAATTGGCCCTTTTTAAAATTGCTTTGTTACCATGGCAACGGGAATTTTTAACAACATGTTTTATTTTCCGTAATTCGCAATATTGTAGCAGTCACGTGGCCGAGTTTCGTGATCATTCTTTTCAAGATAATAAAATAATGGTTTTTTGAATACAATTGTGTGCTGTACAATCAAAACTGTAGGGAGACACCTTAAATGTTTTTTTTTGTCATTCGTAGTTTGCCAGACAAAGCCAGCACCATGTCATCGAGATGCCACTTGTGAGAAAACAGTAAATTCTTTTCAATGTAAATGCAACAAAGGTTTCACTGGAGATGGGGAAAACTGTACAGGTAAGTTCAATTTCAGGATATCGATTGTTCATGTGAAAGTGCCGACTACAAGTCACCACAGATATTAGAGCCATACAGTATGGTTATACCGGTCACCATGTACATTTATTGGGTCGGGGAATTTTGTGAGCTAATATTTTAAAGTTTAAACATACCTGACGAACTTAAATATTTAACTGACAAAGAGGGAATTATTTCCGCTTTTCAAGGTGACTATACTGTATACTGTATATTATATCTTCGGCAGTCTGCTATATTTTAATACTGACAACTCATATTTATTAATTTAGGCACATTTGTTGATTTCAATGTATGATATATCTCGCACAATCACTCATGAGGAATTTATATTTTTAATTTTGGTCCTGTAAATTCCATGTTGGTTATACTAAAACGTACGATACAGTCTGGGATAAGGGAGCTAATTTACATGGAGGGCATGATTTATGCCTGAACTATCCGGTTATGAAGAATTACAATTGTCCAATAAGTGACCAATCTATCAAATGCATACTAGGCATAGATATCTTATATACACAAGATAGTGCATCTAATTATTCTGCAGTTCAAACATTGAAGCCATGATTGCAGACTCAGGATATTCCCATGAAATGAGAAGACTCGTTTTTTTTCCATTTCTTAAACAGAGAACTTAAATATTAAAGTAAACCTATTCCAAATACATTTTTAAACTATTCGAATGATGGAAGTTATTGTTGTTTTTTAAGCGTTTATTAGCGAGTGGGAAATTTCAACATGGCCGCCATTTATTCAAATGGGGGTAACCGCTGGAATATTCTGGGCTTCAATTTTACTAAAAGAGATGCACTATCTAGTGTATGTAAGATATCTATGATACTAGTCCGTTTGCTGCGTCCCGTTATCGTTTATACTTTCATTAAGCATGTCTTGGAACTGAAATATTTTTATCGGAACTAACACTTTCGAACACGTTGAGTTCAAATCCGAAAACTTCCCGCACCGTAGACCCGCAGTTTTCTCACAAACTGCTATTTTATATTCGCTAATTTCACAACAAATTTTTTCATTGTTCAACGTCACGGATCAATGACGACACACGATTATATCAGTCAAAACGACCAATTTCTATTAACCAGTCTTCTTAAAGGGGCAGTGTCACCATTTGCGCATCTTTACTGCGCATAACAAAAGAAGCTTCGGAAATTGTCGGAAATCGCTCGGGCCTCAATAATCGCCATTGTTTTAGGAGCGTTGAATTGATGAAATCCGGATGAGCATGGTAGGTTTAGACATATATTTGCATTTTAATATATATCGGATGTCACCTATTTGACCTTGATTATTATTAATAGGATTCATATTGTACATGCAAGAGTTCTTGCAACACGAGAAGAAAGGAAAATGGCACTCGAGGATGCCCTTGTAAGGGTAAAAATATGAAGTGCGATGAGAATTGTCGGTGTGGTACACGTAATAAACCATGCAAAAATAAGGTAAATATGGAAAAGTCGATATCTTTTAAAGCGATGTGGCTTCAAACTTTTAATTTTTATTATCTAATTTCGTTTCAGGAAGGCGCTGTCGCTGCCGTACAAACTACTGACACACAATGTCAAATAGCACATGGCAAGAAAAGGCAAGCCAAGCAAGGTTTCCGGCTGAGTCACGAGCTACAGCAGTCTGAAGATATGGAAAGAGAAAAGGAACACGAAGATGTAAAGGTAGTTGTCTAATATTGTACTTTGAAGTGATTTTTAAGGCAAGATTTTGAATATAAACTTTTCTGTTTACTGAAAATATTTAAGATCAGAGGTACAATGCTACATTGTTCCATGGATAAACCAGGTTTATGGTCAAGGTTTGCCTAAATTATGACCAATTCTCTGAACCAAACCCAATGTGATAGTTGCTTAATATGCACCTATCAATGTTAAGCCCCAGAGGGAGGGGGGGGGGTCGGGCATAAGGTGGGACATTTGATTTTTTTGAGCAAATTTTTGATGAAATGCCCCACCATCGGGCAATAAAATATTGGTTAAATGCCCCACCATTTTGCAATAAATACTATATTAATAAAAGTCATTTGGCTCAAATTGCCCAGCTCGGGGCAAACATGCTAATCAAAATCCCCAGGGTGGGGATACAATTGATGATCAAATACTCAAATACCCCACATATGCCCGATAACCCCCCCCCCCCCTCTGGGGGTTAACATTGATAGGTGCATTAATATGGTAGCACTCTCTCAATTGTCAACATAGCAAGCCCTTTTGAATTACCTGTTGCCTGGATGGCCTTTTAAAAAGTACTCAAAAAGGTTTATCACAACATGCTGTTGTAATAAAGTCCTTGTTTATTTTAGAGATTTATATTCATGCTAGATGAAAATATGGCAAAAAAACTAGCCATCCGTAGTCTTCGTCGTGGAATTGGAAGTATGGACTACGTAAACACATTATTAATAATGGAAGATGATCTTGATGAAGCTGATGGAAGTGAAAGGATGGGTGAGTTTGGAGAATCATCAGAATGTCCAAGCAATGTTCCATCGAATGCGAATGAAGATATAGAAGGCTCTAGTAGTATGACACAGAATCAGGGTCCGTCTCAAGATGATACCCCACCAGCAGAATTACCAGAGTGGTGTAAATGCGGGAAATGTCGACCTATGCCCCAAGAGGTAGAAAACAAATGCTGCTGTCAAAAGAAGTGTATCACCCTGTCATCGAGATTTACCAAGCTGTGTCTTGACCCCGATGTACTGGAGCTGTGCATTCGCAATACTGGAGACATCAGAAACGACAGGGAAGATACCAGCACCAGAGCTTTCAGGAAAGCAGCATACCGGCAATTTACACTTGCACGATATGGCTATTTAGGCAAAGGAAACAGGCGAGTGTGTCCCTCTTGTGTGGTGCTAAAGATAAGGGCACAATATCCATCTGTAACAGGTGTATATATGGGATTTAGGGAACACTGACACCACTTTTTGTTGGTTGTTCAAAGCTGGGTTAGCTTAATCCTAGGTTAACGTAAAATTCAAAGCAAACGTCCTGACAGCTTGTCTATAAATTTGGAAATATTTCTGCAGAGATCTTGTCTGGATCGATAGGAGTTTACTTCTATACACAAACTAAAACTGCAGGTTAAATTTTAATCCAGGGTTAGCCCTAACCCAATTTTGAACAACCGACCCCAGGGGTATTCAATATTAAACATTAAAAAGTGATGGGATACGGAAGGGTAATTTTTGCCTTACTACATGCATTACTTTTTTGTAAAGTTTTTTTGTAATGCCCCATTGTTAAACATTGACAACTAAACAGCTTTTCTGTTCTATTTTCCCACCCACATTGTTCTTTTATTGTATTTCAATGTTGCATTATTTATTATTTATTTAACGAAATATGTAAAATATCCAATTAGCAATCTTTACAAAATCTGCTGTTTCATTGAACAATTTCTTTGGTGGGAACTGACTGGAATGCAAGCCACACAAGGAAATATTAGAACCTCTTATATATATTTAAAGTAATATTTACAACTATTCAGAGTCCTTTGAAAATCTGCTCTTTCGTTTAACAATTTGTTTGGTGGGTACCGGGGGAATATGGGCAATGGTTGGGGAAATTAGTGCTGGGTCACTGTCATTTAGGGAAACATGTCTAGCCACACTTTCTACATCAATTTGCCTCCTTCTTAAGATTCTCGACAATAGTATCGGGATATACTCGTATCCTTTCTCCACCTTAACCACCTTCACGTCCCATTCCCTTGTTCTAGGATTATATTTCCTTGTGATAATTTCGTCTCCAGATGATGTTTTAGCTTGCGGCAAGTTTAGATGGTAGTTCCAATCAATAGCAGCTAATTGCTTTCTGGCCCTGTATGTTGGGTATCTACAAGTAGGAAGCAATATTTAAAAAACACCCTTTCGATATCATAGGTTGTAGGTGGAATGTATAAAATGTATTACCATATACAACCTAATTGAAACTAACCTAAAAGGCATTCGTTTTGGTGTGTATACCAAGCTAAGACTGTTGGCACATTCAATGCCACCAGTATGCCTGCAAATGAACAAAGCACAAATTTTTAAATAACATTTACACAAACACGCAAAAGATAAACACTGTGCACAAAACAAATGCAAGACATGAAGTGATTATTTACCTGAAACGAGTGTAATACTGCAAACTTTTAAGTAATTCCGGGTTCAAGATAACTTTTTGAAGCTGGATGTAATCTTCATCTCGCCGGTCAAACCAGGGTAACGATTCATCATGATCACCAATGTCATGGTCGCACTTGCCTCCTACCCACTCGTGCACGTTACATATGTGGTGCAGCAATCCAATCCACATATCCTGAATATGTAAATATAAGTATAGGTAATCATGCGATGGCTAGTACAATTAGGGATTAATAGAATGAGTGATGTTTGGAAACAATATGGTGGTATAGTTTTCAGTATAATTTAATAACTAATGACTTTGACATTTTAGCCACTACTGGGACATATAATTATAAGAAAAAAATAATAATACCTTCATGGTTTTTAATGCTTCTTCATCGGTCGTTGTTTCGTTCTTTCGGCAGGCACTGGAACAATACCAGAAGTGTCTTACTATATGGGCTGACCAATCGTTAATCTTCTTCATTCTTTTTGGCTTACCCAACTTGTATATACATAGAAGAGTAAAAACATGTTTAGAACTAGATTGCACTGATGTAGTATAATCTAATATGTGTATAGGCCTAAGGCAATACGGTATTTATTTATATATGTATATATATGCCTAACACAATGAGTGGCAGCACTCTCACCCTGGTGGTCATCTGGTGTTAAACAGTAAAATAATCAGGTGTTAGACAGAGTAAAATAATAAAGTGGGTGCACCTAGGCGCATTGCCACTTAAAGGTAGTCAACCCATTAAGCGGCAGCACTCTTCCCTTGATGAGTAAAATCTCCTGGCAATTTACAATATTAAACCATTCGTACAAACAGTGGGGGTGGTAAACTTTCAAGTGTTGTATGAGGGGTCTTCAACTTTGAGATCATCAAAGGGGGGAGGGATACAAGATTTTTGTACATGACATAAGAATCTCCCACCCCACCCTAGGGTATAAATAATGAACAGTCCCTAACTCATACACACAACAAAAACAAAAGTGTGCTAATTACACACCTTTGTAAGGCACTTCTTTATACTTTTAGATTTGTGCCACACATCCAGACTGTGAACAATACCTTCAAACTGAGATTCTGAAATAAACAATATTCAAATTTTATTGGTCTAAAATAGCTACTACATGTATACTATGTGATCTCAAATCTGCTTTTTGGGTGTAAAAGATAGTCGCTGTTTCATCATGTTTAACCTATTAAGCTGCCCTTCAACAAGTAAGATTGTCTGGCGCTAGATCGAATAAAAGGTTAAAGTCAGGCACATCATTGCTCAAAGGGTTAAAAAGATTATATTGGCAAATAGATTTGTTAACCCATTAAGCCGCAAGACTTTCCGCTTGATGAGTAAATAATCTGGCGCTAGACAGAGTAAAGAGGTAAAGTCGGATGTAGGCTATCGCAGCTAAATGTTCTTATATGGATAGTAATCGTAATATTTACAAACCTAGTAAAGCTTTAATGGAAGAGGAAGCATCCGTCACAAACTCGACAACCCTTACATTGTCATTCTTTAGCTTATCCAATCCTTGTTTCACCGCTTTTCTTTCCATATTGGTGGAGATTAAGCCAACATGTCTCTTATCCAAAATTTCAATGCCAATTATATAATTTGTGCTGTTTTCTACCATGAAATAACAAAGATTCTTGGCATTGAAACCTGGGGAGTCACATTGGCCATCCCCACCAACAACAATATCTTTTCCTGCAAATTCATCCAGAATTTCCTTCCTCATCCATGACCACCATTCATTCACTTCAGGAATTAGATATAATCGTTGGAATCGGTGATAGGTTGACTTGGCCAGGAATTCTAGTCCGTAAAATCTGGCCATTCGTTTCACTTTCCCAAAATTGTTCCCAGACAGCATGATGCACGCAGCTGCCATGAGGTTGTTTCCATAAATTCCATTCACCTCATGGGAGGAACAAAACCTGAACTTGTGACCTTGTGGACATAAACAGTTTACAATGACAGTTGGCCCAATAAAATGATAGTTTACTTCAGGACTTTTGTCACAACCAGGTGTCTGACATCGAGCTTGAAACATGCAAATCAGCAAGTCAATTGAACATATAAACTTTTTTTCATTCACTATTTTGAATTCCCGCTCAACATTGTATATCTCTTCCCCCCGACTTAGTTTAGGATGTGGCCCATGACCAATGATGCAATCTTTAGTAGTTAAGGGATCATCAAACTTGGTACCAGGGGGATCAACATCATTGTTCTCATCTTCACTTTCTTCTAATGGACTGCTAACAGAGAAATAAAAGAAAATACATAGCAACGCGTAATTGCATCACATTTCGCACACTATACTTTAAATTCAACTACAGTATAGCCTGCGAACAGGCTCTCTTTCAACTTTCTTTGAAATTTGCTTTGAAAGGCTAATTTAATTATGGATATATACACTCATATTTTTTATATTCTTAGGGACTGGTTATTATTTATGGACAGGGGGAAGGCAAAAATAAGGGGGGCATATGTATCAATAAATGACTAGAAGGGGGGCTATTAATTTTTTTCAAGAAAATGAGGGGGGGGGGTGCAATTAAATTTCAGGGAATTTGCTTAATAAGCCTGGTAACCATTTGGTTGTAAATGTTGCGAATATTTACTTACTCGTCAATATCCATGCTATAGTTGAAGTTTGTTGGCCTATAAGTAGATATTGATGACTTATTAGTTACAGTATGCTACCTGACACCAGAAGACCATATATAATAATTATGTCTCATATATACTTTGCAATGTTTAATAATAAATAACAAGTATTAATAATGTTTTTTTATTACTTAATTAATACTGTACATACATTTCATCCTCTGTCTCCTCCTCATCATCCAACCCTCTTTCATCATCCAACTCCAGCATAGCCGACTGGTCGGGTTCTCTGAAAAATACATGTTTTTGCATTAAACACAAGTTGCAGTGTAAATCAACAACAAATTGCAGACATTAATCCTTTACACATTTGCTTCTGTAGAACAAAATACATGAACAAACACTAAATAAAGATGAATATCATAACATGAAAAGCTGAAAGGATTAATTAGTCACTTAATGCGGATGGATGTCTATACACAAGTTGCACAGGCCAAACCATAGACTGACAGAGTTTGTTTAGTGCACTACACATACTGCTACTAGTTACCTGAAGTCATAATCAGAGCTGTTCTCCTCACTGCTAGTTTCTAGTTCATCATCAGTGAACAAAGATGTATTTAATTGTTCAATTGTGGACCTATATTTCAAAAAATATAGTGGTCACAATATGAAATCACTCCAATCAAGAGTTTCAAGACCTTTTTACACTCAATTGAAAACAAAGTACACATGAGTCTTATAGTACAAGTATAGTACAATTACCTTCCATGATGTTCTGACAAAGTTGAATTGGCATCCATTTCCAAACAGTAATCTAGTGTCAATGGTTCTTTTATAGTTAGCAAGATTGGGGACTCAAGTATAGCAGAGGAATCAGGCAAATTTTCACCTCTCTTCACAGGGGTGGAAGTTGTAATTTCTAAACAAATATATTTATACTTTAAATACAACCAAATATATTTGGTATTGCAAATGTTATATGTCACATATTTAAATATATTTAGGTTGTTTACAAATTACTCTAGTAATGTATTGCTTTCTTTAGATCTCCAGACATAGACGTAAACAGTTAGTATAATTTTAACCGACCTTGTTGATGTGGTGGTTTAGGGAGATAGGGAAAGACTAGTTTCGTTTGCTTGTTCCAAATGCTTTCACTGTCTGCCCTGAAATAGAACAATGTAGACTAATATCAGCAACATATACTATGCGAATAACTAAAGAAATGAATCCAATATACAAATAATGCTTACCTTCTACGGTATTCCAGCGAGAGCAAATGTGCGGCAAAATCACTATCGGTACTTGAGCCGTATCCAGCAACGATTTTGGACTCTTTCCACGTCTCAAATATTTTGATAGATAAGTAAAGTCTTTTATGTCGAGCGTTCCAGTTTAACTGTGAACTAGTTGATCCGATGTGTTTTCTTTTTCGGCCAGAATTGCGGCGTTTACCGCCGTGCGTCTCGCCATGTGCATCCGCCATTTTGGAAAAACAAACTTGAAAAACTACAGGATGTAGTTTTTCAAGTTTCGCGTGCGCAGTAAAGATGCGCAGATGGTGACACTGCTCCTTTAAGCAAGTGACGTTTTTGACAACACGGACGTCGACCGGAAGTAAAGTTGACGTTTTTCACCAATCACAGCCCTTGACCCAGTCTTCTGACGTTACTCATGCCGTCCGTGTTGTCAAAAACGTCACTTGCTTAAACTCACTAATAATTCCCACCGACCTCTGCAGTCTGACCCGAGAGATTTTCCATCCCCTTTTCGGGAACCAAGTCCATATCCCGGCCCTTTGCTTCCACCTTCGATATCTCACCCACTTATGAACCATTTGTACGCGCAGCCTTTCATACAACCCTTACCGACCTTGCAACCCCTGATGGATATGCCCACGAGAACAATCAGATATTGATTAAGGATTATACCCGGAAGACCCGAAATATTAACAACCTGATCTCAATTCCCCTTGTTACTAATAAGAATCCCCCAAAATCCTGTGATATCCCGACCATATTGTCCACTAATGTTAGATCATTACCAAAGAAAATTGACGAGCTCCAGCAAATTGCAGAGCTAAACTCTGCAAGTATTATTTGCATTACTAAATCGTGGCTATCACCTGACATTCCTGATCATTGCGTATCTATCCCTGGATTCAACTTATTTCGTAGGGATCGCATAGGATCTTCTGGTGGTGGGGTCTGTGTATATTTGGATCATAAAATACCTTGTAACCGTTTGGATTCATGTGACCAATCTGATGTAGAATCAATTTGGATTTCATTAAGACCACATAAACTCCCAAGAGAAATTACATCCATTATTCTAGGAGTAATATATCATTCAACATCCAATAAAGAACCTGAGAATGTTGTCCTTAGAGACCATGTGCAGAATAACCTTGACTCATTACTCTTTAAGGAACCTAACGCTCTTGTTTTACTTACAGGTGACTTTAATCCCACGTCTACAGGTTTTAAAATGAAATATATCACACAGGTGAACCATCTTAAACAACTTATATCTTTTAACACCAGAGATTCTGCCGTATTGGATTGGCTGTTAACAAATAGACCTAAGATGTTTGAAGTATCTAGATTGCCAAAGGTTGGTTCGTCTGACCACTATACGATCTTAGCAAAACCAAATATAGCAATATCATCTAAACACACTATTACCAAAATTAGAATCCGAGACATGCGGAACTCTGCGTGGTGTGCCTTTGGACGATGGATAACCAAAAAAAACTGGTCATCGGTATTAAGTGCGAGTACGAGCAAAGATAAATTTGACCTCTTTATGTCAGAGCTTGACCAAGCAGTTAATACCTTTCTCCCACAGAATATTATTAAAAAGCATCCGACAGATCGACCGTGGATTACTAATACGATAAAACTGTGGATTTCTAGACGCCAATGTGTATTCCAACAACAAGGAAAAAATTCGAAAGACTATAGTTTTTGGAGGAATAAGGTTCAACGTGCGATCCAGTCAGCAAAATCCAATTACTTTCATAGTAAGGTAGCAGATGTTGATAGAGTTAACCCTGTAAAGTGGTGGAAAGAGATTAAAAACTATCAGGTCAAAATAACCGACAGGAATGGTATCATCAGTTCCTTGATAACAACACGGATATAGAATCCCTAGCTAATAAAGTGAACGACTTCTTTGTTAGTCTTACAGATCACTTCGCCCCTCTGAGCCAACCAACTCCACCTATGCAAATCCCGGAAGAATTCTTGGTTACGTACGGAAAGTGAGGTGTTTAAAGCATTAGCATCACTGCAAATTAGTAAGGCGATTGGCCCTGATAATATCCCGAATAGAATTCTGAAAGAGTTTGCTCCTGAACTGGCTCCAGTCATTCGTAATATTTACAACCAGTCAATGAAAGAAGCGAATATCCCATCACCACTTAAGTCATCTATCGTAATTCCAGTTCCGAAGATATCACCTCCTCAAACAATTGAAAATGATCTCCGCCCAATCTCGCTTACTTCTTCAATGGCAAAAGTTATGGAAGGCTTTACTTGCACTAGACTATTAAAGGACTTGGAAGGAAAAATCGACCCTCGCCAATATGCCCGCAAAGGGCACTCAACAACAGATGCCCTTCTCTACATGATGCAAACAATTCATGAGGCATTGGACGGGGGCGAAGCTGGTGCTCGTATCTTTTTCGCAGACTTCTCAAAAGGTTTTGACCTAATTGACCACTCTATTTTAATACAAGAACTGTATAAGCTCCAGGTTCACCCTGCCTTGCTGTCCTGGATCTCAGCCTTTTTATTCAATCGTAGGCAGGCGGTTAGAATTGGTAGTGTCCTTTCTCAATGGCAAACTCTGAAGGGAGGAATACCCCAAGGGACTAAACTCGGAGTGGTACTTTTTATGGTCATGACAAATAGCTTACTGGCTAATTGGCATCGCAGTACAAAATTCGTGGATGATACTTCAGCCCTCGAGATTATTCCTAGGAACTCTATCAGCCTCCTTAATTTTGCAGTCTCTGATATACATGAATTTGCTAATGAACATAACATGAAGCTCAATCCTAAGAAGTGAAAGGAAATGCTTATAAACTTCCTACATAACCCCAATTTCTTACTCCGACCAATCCAAATTGGTAACAATATTATTGAGCGTGTAACAACGTATAAATCTTTGGGTGTCATTTTGAGTAGCGACCTAAAATGGAATCCCCATATCGAATACATTGTTAAGAAGGCTAACAAAAAACTATACCCTTTAAGAGTCCTGCGAAGAGCTGGGGTTGACCAAAAGAATTTACTGAAAGTGTACCTGTGCACAGTAAGACCGGTTCTTGAGTACGCCGTCCCTATTTGGCAAGACATTCCGGATTATCTATCGAAGGAAATTGAGTCGGTCCAAAAACGAGCACTAAAGATAATTTTCTCGGAGAGCGAGTCATATACGGAGGCCCTGAATTTTGCACAACTACCAACTTTAACCACAAGAAGAGTGCAAATATGTCAGAAATACATGGTCAGAATGAGGCGAGAAAACCATCCCTTATTGCCAATCCCTGTTGTTCCTGACCATGACATTAATTTGAGACAGAACACTGATCGATTTTATCTATTTAATAATGTTACTGATTGCAGAACAATTAAAGCTCAATCCTTTTTTACATTTAAATACTCTTAATATGTTGTTTCTGACCATGACATTAATTTGAGACAGAACACTGATCGATTTTATCTATTTAATAATGTTACTGATTGCAGAACAATTAAAGCTCAATCCTTTTTTACATTTAAATACTCTTAATATGTTAAGATTTTTTTTTTTAATATATATGAAAATTGTAAATAATTATGCATGCACTATTTACTATTTTGGTAAATGCCTAATGATTTTAACTCTTGTAAATAGCCTAGATTCTAAAGCATATCCATGTACTATTTTATAACATATTCTTATCTATTGTAAAGTACTCGTTAATTCAGTTGTTTCTGTAACTGCAAGAGAGTCCTAATAAACTATTACTATTACTAT